GTGTGTGTCCTCATGTGTGCGCGGAGGTCTCCCGGTTTCTTGAAGGCGACCCCGCAGATCGCACAGTCGTGCGGCTTGTCCCCGCTGCTGGTCCCGGCTGTAGCGCCCTGCTCCTGGTCCACTCCTCCTGGCGGCTGCTCTTCACCGGCCGCCGCCGGCCCGCCGCTGAGCACGGCGCCGCCACCGCAGGCACGCCGTCTCCTAAGCTCCGCGTGACATTGGCCGGCACGGTGGTGCTGGGCCACCAGAAGGGGGCTGACGTAGCACAGGCCGCACTGGCCGCACGGGAAGATGCCGGCTGTGGAACGAGAGGGTGAGAGTCTCATTCGCGTCGTCAAGAGCGATGAGCCCGCGCCGGTCACGGTCACATACAGTGGGCACTTTGTAAAACAGGAGCTCCAAACGGGGGGCAAAATTCTGGTAACCCGACAAAAAATCAAAATACACCGCGCAAAACGGCCGCGGTTTCGCAAAGGACCCCGAACTCACTGAGGGCCCGCGTGTCCTGCGTGGGGTCCTTGTAGACCTTCGGGTCGAGGCCGAGCTCCTTGCCGTACGAGTCCCCGTACCAGACCAGCAGCTCCGTGTTGGGCGGGATGTCCCGCACCACCCGGTAGTACAGGCGGCCCTTGTACTGGTACGGGTAGAGGTTCTCCTCCCCCGAGTGGCGCGCGCAGTTGACGAACCTCATCCAGTTGGACTTGGTCATGTCCAGCGCGTCGACGCAGTGGGTGGCCTTCCCTTCGCGACGAATCTGTGAGAGGGAAAAGTATATCATAAGGACAAAATTAAACTTATGAATTTTGCTAACCGAGCACAGGTAGGCTTTGTCCGTAACTACGGCCTATCGCAACGTATCACCTCCCAGCCGTAGCCCGTCTCCTTGTTGGTGGGCGCGTTGTCGCCCTCGTACGGCCCGAAGCGCACCCTCCTGGGCACCGCCTGCCGGGTCCACACACCGCGCCCGGCTCCCGGGATCTTGCTGACCTCGATGGCGAGCTGGGGCGGCACCGTGAGCAGAGCTCGCTCGGGGTGGCCGACGGGGACCTGCGGAGAGGGACGATAGAAAGGCGTAAGTGTCGTGCTCCATTTCAATGGACCCAGCGCCTCACTCGCGCGTCTACGTTGCGGTAGCCGATACCTCAGTGTCCGCGATGACCTCCAGGGCTCCGTGTACCGGGCAGTCGCCTTCCCACTCCTTCTGGCAGTCGTCGCAGACTGCAACAAAGCGAAGAGTTACAGTACTCGTCCTACAGCTCGACGGGCACGGGCAAGTGGGCTACTCGAACTCACAGAGAAAGTCGTCGTCGTCCTGCAGCTCGGGCTCCGCGTAGGACCTGCGGCTGCCGGCCCGCTTGGGGTAGCGCGTCGGCCGCGGCGCCCCGGGTGCGCCGGCCGAGGGTGGACCTGGGGGTGCGGGAGGCGCTCCGGTGGACGCGCGGGGGCCGCAGCGCTTGTTCCTCGTCCTGGCCTTCGGGGTGCTGCTGGTGCTGGCCACCGGGTCAACGTTCTCCTTGCCGGCGGCCCTGTGAATGGAGGACAGAGGTACAGGACGCGCATGCCGCGGGTGCGGGTCTTTCACCATACTGACATGAGGTGCACTTACCTCGGTAGGGGCGGAGCCGGGGCAATTGTGGCACTTTTCTGCTGCGCAGGTTTGGGGCGCTCCTGCAAGGAAACAAATGCAACGGCCGCGGTCCACGGTATCAGACAGGCGTCGAAAACGGTTTTATGGAGAACCAGAGAAGGAAAGGGAAAGGGGTGAGAGGGACCACTTTTCCGGGGCGGCTTACCTTGGAATTTTCTTTGGTCGGAGACCAGTCCAAGTCCTTCTCATCGTCACTATAATTCTCTTCTTCGCCTTTGCGTTTCTTCGCCGCTTTCTTCTTGACCTGTGGCTGCTGACTTTTCTGCTGACGCTTCTGGGGGAGTGTCCGTGTCATGAACCCGGGAGGTTTGGGGGCCAGGCCTACGCAAACAACGAAAAGGAAAGTGAACGGAACGAATAGTAGTAGTAGCTTGGATTTTCCGCGGGCTCAAGTTTTAGTCTCAACATACAAGTGAGGTTACCGCCATCGCAAGCCTCACATGAGGTGTTGGAAAACCAATGCTTACCGCAGCGCTGCATGTTGTGATAGTTGTCCTTCGCATTGCGGTAACTTTTCTTCTCGTAGCTGCACAGATCCTTCCACTCTTCCGAGGGAAAAAACACTTTGATGTCCTCAAAATCACTCGCATCCGATTCCGAGCTTGACATTTTGATTGAAAAACCTCGATGATCAGGTGACCCGAAACCCGAAAGCAAAAAGTAGGCCTACGAGTCGCGCGGGCACGGATACCGCCAACCGTCACGGGAGTGCGTTCAGGAAACGACCGGCCGATCGATCAGTCGTTGCGCATTTCGATTATTTTTATCAGTTGTCTCTACATGTGTGTTATATATGTAAACACCGTAAATGTTTCATAAAAATAATTAGCAGTTCAAAAAATATGATTGAAAAATATGAAAATGGTTCCGAAACGATATCGCTTCTTGGAAGCAAGGCTATCTATAAATTTGTGGTATTTTTGGCAGATGATACTCTTAAAACATCTATACTTATTTGAAATAGTAAGTGTACGGAATGACATCACTACAAAATTACACGGTCACATGCAGGGTGTCTGTTCCATTCAAGGCGGGATTTTCGCGCCACCAATTTGAATTATTCATATCGCTCTGTTACGGACTACTGTGTGTATATCCAGTTAAGGAATTGATCCCAGAGTAGATACGCCGTGGGCGCGGTTGGGAGATAGCGACCCTGTTCTTCTTATTCGAATATGCCGCATTTTTTACCGTCGCTGTACCTGTGCCCAACTCCCCTCAGAGGGTGACGTCAGCGCCGCTCAGCTGTGCTCTACAAGGCGCTACCCCGCGCCACGGCGCTACTCCCCGCCGCCGCGGCGCTACCCCGCGGCACCAGGCGCCACCGCCATTGCAGCTCACCAGCCAGGGATTCCTAACGTAACGTAAACTTGTAAGAGAACTTGTACAACCAAATAAAAATAAAATCACAACTTTAACGCGTTTTGAAGCGCTTCCCTTGAAATTTCACACTGTGCTCCCCTGGAAAACACTGTCATAACTTTGAAAACGCTTTGATAATGCTTTCAAAATAGCATTTTTTTAGCGCCGTTTCTGTTACGCGTTACGTTTCGTTACGACGCCCTGTCCCCAGCCAGCCCCCATCGTCTGCACCGAGCTCCTCGGCGGCGCCAGGCGGGTGCCCCGCTGCCCGAGCAGGTCCTGCCAGGGCTCACTAGCTCACCCCACCGGCCGGCAGTGTGACGATGTAGAGCATGAACGGAACGCCGTTTGGTCGAACGAGCGAACGAGAGGGCCCCCGTATACAACATGAACGTTTTGCGACGCCCTACTTACAAGGCTGCAACCGCGAAAAGGATTAGAATTTGAACCAACAAAACCCTTGCCCCAGCACCTGGGCTGTGCATAGCCTTAATTGAATTGAAGCCAAGCCCCCCCCCCTCCCCCCTCAGTGACATGCGGGGAAAGGGGCGGGCTCAGTCAGGCCTTTTAATCGAGCGTTTAAAGTTGGCGGAAAAGGTTGGGTGGGGGGGGGGGGACAAGAACACCGTCGACCTGTTGTGTGTCTTGGAGACGGGGCGGTCTGGCACGACGCAAGGGGGAGGATGAGGGGAGCGGGGGTACCTCATGTCAGCGGACATTTCATTTGCCTTACGACATAGTCATTCTGAAAGTCTAGGAAGGGTCATGCAAGCGGGATGATTCACCAGAGTAAAGCAGAACAAAAAGAATGAAAACCATTGCGCTGGGAGAAAAGGGGGAGAAGGGGGGCTTTGGGGCGGGTATATGGCGTGCAGCTAGGTTCACTGGGTTCACTCACACACGCACACCATTATTTGCTCATTTTTTAATTGTTTTTATTTACATGAAAGAAGTTCTGAATCTCTATAA